TCTACCTGCTGATCTCCCATGGGTCATTTTAATGTTTGCTACGAAAGATGACCATTTTGAGAGGACAAAATGTTACGAAAATTAAGTGCAGTGAATATCTTGTAACACGAAATTCCCAACTGCCGAAAGAGTGAGTTCGTTAGCGGATATTGGGCTGACTCATATTTCTTTCTTTTTGTAAAAATTTGAAACCGTATAACGTCTCGATACAATCGAACAAAACAAGTTCTTGTGCGTCAGCATTCGAAAACTTTCTAAATGGCCCTCGGTCTGTTTTTATTGCTCATTGCACAATAACCATTGCTCACATGTACTTTATTTAAGTTGGGAGGTGAAACTTTAAGAAAAGCTTTCATTGAGACAATAATGCTTTAAACAAGAGATCTCTTGCTATAAATTAGTCTTTAACCAGCAAATTCGTCTCTTGTTGGCACATTTTTTAGCCTTTTTTTGTTACTTTTGAAGTTACTGCTATTGTTTTGTTTCATTTATTTATTTATTTTCTAATTTTGTTTGAATGTTTGTTTGTTTTTCAAACGAGTACAAGAGCCGCGAAAAATTACAATGACCCAAGAATCATTCGTCACGTAAGAAACGAGGAAAGGGAACTGGAGCCGAAATGCGTCGCGCAATTACTTCTGGGATTGTTTTGGGGGATGCGCTAGTCAGCTATTGGCCAATTTTTTTCCTGTCTCTAGTAACAATCCTAGAAGTCTTTGCTAAAGCTAACTCGGCCCAGTTTCCTTTTCGTTTTGAAAGTAGCGAATTTTTGTAGCGAGGTTTCCGTAACTACCGTAAGTCCACTTTAATGAGGACGCGTAGTTCGGACGTGGCTTATCAAACCGGAGTACATGATAACCCTGACAAGAGGAAGTGTTTAAAGGAGCTGTGTCACGATATTTATCTGAACTAAAACAGTAACTGCCACTAAATAGAGCAAAACATTAAAATAATCGTTCAAAACGTTGAAAGAAGGTATAAATAACAAGGAAATACAAAAGAGGGTGCGGATGGACAAAGTTGAAGAAGATAAATCGAATTGCAATCGTGTTTAAAAACTTGTTTGTCCAACAGTTTTTCAACGTTCATTTTCTTTGTTTACAAACAACAAAAATATAACGCTTAGAAGGCATATTGTCATTTTCTCTGCTATCGTGAGTTAAGTACCAAAGCGCACTAAGGACACCTATTGGCAATATTGACAAAATGAACTAGACAGACGTGACAGAGTTCCTTTAATTCATAATTTTAGTTACAGAAAACTTTGCTCATAGGTTTTGAGAAACCGAGCATCGCGAAAATTTTTGATCTGTTAATCTTTTGTTACCCGCATTTATTAAGAAAATGGAGGAAAAATATCAGGTCCATTAAATAACTGATAATTGTATTATAATCTTGGAGTCGTGATGTAAAAAATAAATAAAATTCTCGTTAACATGTCCATACGCCTATTTTTCTTGTTTTCCGTAATTATAGCGATATTTGCTGTTTGCAAACAGTGTTTTTGTTGTTCTAAGGTGCAGCAAATGAAACCGGTAAGCCCAAAAAAGTATGCCCTTTATGGAAACACTTTCTTCCTTGGAAAGAAATAAGACCGTTAAACATTGATCATTAGTTCGAGTCCCATTTGTAATACTTATACCTTTCTCATGTACTTATCATGGTAATTGTTAAAAGACGCAATCTTTGCCATTCGGTCATCGGCTATAAAATGTTAGCAAGTTTGTCTTTGTGAGGCGTACCTTCCAGGAGTCCTTCCTTATGGTTCTGCAGTGGAGTTTTCGAGCTCATCTCCGAGTGGTCAGATATTCAACTCTTGCCAAGAGAAACCTAGTTTCCGGTTTATTTTGTTGGATTGTTTGTTTTATTTTGTTTCTTTCACGAGCTCCTACGTCACTATTATCTTGTTTCATTTAATCGGCAGGCTTTAAATTGACCATTGCCCTTCATGTTGCTTGTTGTATAAAAAATGCTATTATGCACCAAAACAAAAGAAGCAATGAAAACATCATTAATGTGAAACAGTTCAGTCTCGAACATCACATATACTTAAATAAAGAACTGCATGTTTTTAATATTAATGTGAAAAGTTCTATTGGCGCTGAAAACGTGTTTTCATAATTGTGGTTTGTTTCGCGCACAACTTTTTTGGTTTCTCTCGAATTTCAATTCTGTCTTGCGGTCTGATAATATTTATACGGAAGGAGCTGTTGGCTAGTTGCTATAGAAACTATGAAATGGACGTACAAGAATCTTTACTGAAAATTTGAAGATAGATGTTATTTAACGTATAAATGGAGAGAAAAGTACATCCCTCACAAGAATTGGCCCTTACATCAAGAGAACTTCGTGAACTACAAAAACTTCACGAGCTTGGCAAAAAATATTGGGTAAGTTGAAAAAAAGTTTTAAGTTTACAACTGTAAGATCGAAGTTTTAACAAGGAATTGAAACTTTCTTTCTCTTTTTATACCGTTTCAAAAACAGCGAATTATATTAAAAATCAAAACTGATTATAGATCTCAGAGGGTAGAGAAATGATTATCCTGATGGCAGATTTATTATCTAAGAGGAAATGTGTACTGTCAGGAATTTGTGTGTTGATATTGAAAGAAGCCGTGCAATATATCAAATAAATTCTGGATTGACAGTTTTCTTCACAGTAAAACATCATAAAAAAGCCGAGGAGAAAAACATTATAGTACACTGCGAATTTCATTGATCAAACTACCAAATATGGAGTTTTAGAAAGAAAAAGGAAGTAAGTCGAAGATACGTCAATTACAATACACGAACCAAAAATGTGGATACAAGCAGGAATGTTAGAGAAGATGATGTTCAAAATCCCTTTTAAAATCACTGTAAATAATTTTCAAAAGCGATGCGCTGACCTTTTTTATGGAAAAAAAGAGTATTTACTGTAATAACATATCATACCCCCTATCCTCTCAGAATCATTTCGAAAGGAAAAGATCTTGAAAAAATGTCATATGGTAATGACTAACAGCTTGCTTGCGTTTTGCATGATTTCAGTTTTAACGTGTTGTATGATCATAGGTTGTTCACACTATACCTGATAGCGGTTGCGCCGGCACGAAAACCATACCGGACAGGGGTTCTGTTCACACATAAGAACGGTTATATCGAGGCGATTTCTGTTAAGAGCGAAGCCGTGCGGCGCCGATCTTGATCTTTGAAAAAAAAAAAATGGCTGAACGGTTGTAATGCCTCGCGCTTGAAGTGCTTTTTGTTTGAAGCTGGCAGTTTAATGGTGGTGATCTAGGGCGAATAAACTAAGTTACATAAACAGTGTAAATTCAGTAAAAAATATTTCCAGAACAAATGTTTCCTTTTATAAATTCCCAGGTCGCATCCTTAACTTGACAAATAAAGACATCGTTAAATCTCATGCTGTTCCCTTAAGGGAACTGGGGAGGAAATAACAAAGTTGAAATGCCTTCAAACCATAAGATATATGAAGGCAAAATTAAAACGAGCAGAATTGTTTACGAAGTTCAATATTCAAACATCTTACTCTGTGCAAAATTCTTGAAGATGATTGACTAATTACAGTGACTTAATCAGTTTTTCATACGTTATTTTTTTCTTTTTCCCTTTGCGTCGTTTACATTAACTCATAATTCTATGATCTTTCCTTTGAAAGCGTATTTCGATTTGCCTCTGCGTAGTTTTACGGACGTAAAATACGATGAAATAATTTTTTTCTGTTGCTTCCATCGTTGATATTTTGAAATTGTCACTTTTTACATTGCCGTCACGGCAGAGTACTGAGGTGCTCTTGATTTGCCAGCAAATTAATGCACTTTGCGGATGTAAAAATGAACTCAAAATTCTACGCTCGAGTCTCAACGCTTTCTCCACTGTCTTTCGGTTTTCGTTGAAACATCTTGGAGGGTGATCTGCATAATTATTCATATCATACAACTGTTAAACTCCAATAATAGCTAATTATAAGTGATGTATGAATGATGTACGTTACAGATCTGATCCCAGTTGTTCAAGAGGTGGATAGTGCTATCCACCCGACAAATCACTATCCAGCGAAAAGGGACTGAAACCTGGACCGTGTTTTACCAGATTTAATGCCAATAACCTTTAGATTGTAGTCCTTCATGAATTATTAGAGAACTTTAGATTCTAAGACGAGTGCGACTCCGAGTCGAGATACGAGATTTCCTCAATACTAAGTAGTGCGCGGGAGTGAACCAGCGTCATTTTGGCGGGAAAACTTGGTAGCCGTCGTCATTTTACTACGGGTTAGCGAGAATGTCGTAATGGCGGAAACGAGTTATCAAATGTTAGAAGTTTTATCATTTTGCGATCGAGAGAGGGCTTAACCTCCTTCAATATAGATAACAGTGCTATCTCCTCTAATGAGAAAAGTACAATAAAGCTTTCCGGGGTGCATGTCTATTTTTTGAGAATACGCGAAAAAACTAAGTTAAATATCGTATTCGTAGTCGTTCTCCTCCTCGAATCTAAAGGTCTCTCTCTATTAATGAATTTTGAACAGCATTTTTTATTCCTCCTACGATTATTTCGATGATCAAAAGAGTTAAAGAACTTTCATATATAGTTTTAATAGTATTTGATTGCTTTTGTTCAGCGATTATGTCTTTAAAGTGAATCTTTTTATAAGCACGTTTTTTTTCTATTATTCACGTCAGTCTTCTTTTTTCCCAACAATAATGCAATGCTTTAATTAACTGACCCGTTTATATTTTTCCTTTGGTTACCGCTTTTAAATTTAATAGCCTTCCTGCAGTCAATTATTATTTAAAAATTTGACTTCACTGAACCATCCATAGATTATGCTACTACAAAATAATATCATTAATATTTTTAAAAAACCAAAATTTTAAATTCATATTTGAATTTTCCCTTTTAAACCAAAGATGCAGGAGCGTTTGGTACAACAAAATCAGACAGCTTTCTCCTCGCTAAGAGCGATTACAGAATCATACTGGAGAAATGAATTGCGTTTAAAAAGAAAAAATCTAAGAAATTCTTTGTCAAATAACAGTCAATGAGTGTACTATGTTAGTCTATGTTGTTCATGTAACATGATGTAAGATTTCACAACAATTTTCATTTAAAATCTTCCGTTGACAACAAGCAAAAATATAACCCTTTGGACAGTTTTGATACATTTAGAATCATAAACCGATGTGACTTACCTTTCTTTCCAGTCCGTCCTTGGGTAACATTAACAGCAAACTAATATTGCTAATGGCCTTTTTGTCCCAAATTTAATCAAGGACTGCATTAAGAGCAATCTATAACATCACTGTCAATTATTGTTCCGCTTATAATGCCAGTAATGAACCAAAAAAAGCTCTTTATTTTCTTTTTCGTTAGCACCTCAGTACCCATGAATTAAATATTTTAAACAAACTGTTATTTAATTAACGCATATCTGAATCTGATCTTACTGCTCCAGGTCATTATAATTTCACAAAATAGTTGCTTGAAAACCAAAATTTTTAAAGTCATATTTTAATTTGCCCCTTTAGCCCAAAGACGCAGGAACTTTCAGTGCAAACCAAATCAAACAGCTGGCTTTCTCACGTTCCTTTCTCCTCGTTAAGAGCGATTACAGATTCATTCTGAAGGAAAATTGCATTGAAATAAGATAAGCTTGAGTAATAGTTTCCACCGTCGGTCACTTTATCTCAATGGGCCAGTGTTGTGTTGTTCATGTAAGATGATTTTCTACAACTTTCATTTAAACTATTCCGTTGACAACAAGGAAAAATATAACCCTTTGGACAGTTTTGATCCATTTAGAATCGGCATAACCCGCGCGAGGTGAATTACCTTTCTATTCTGTCCTTCCGTAGCATTAACAGCAACCTAATATTGCTAATGGCCTTTTTGTTCCAAATTTAATCACGGCTATGACTGCGTTAAAAGCACTCGGTGACATCACTGTCAATTATTGTTCTGCACATAATGCCGGTAATGTATCAACAAAGCTCTTTATTGTCTCTCTTTAGAACCTCAGTATCCATGAATTAAACTGTTTTTAACTGATATCTGAATCTGATCTTACTGCTCCAGGTCATTATAATTTCACAAAATAAATGTTTAAAAACCAAAAGTTTTAAATTCATGTTTGATTTTGCCCCTTTAGCCCAAAGACGCACGAACTTTCAGTGCAAACCAAATCAGACAGCCGGCTTTCTCAAGTTCCTTCCTTCTCGTTCAGAGCGATTACAGATTCATTCTGAAGGAACATTGCATTGAAAAAAATTAAGCCCGAGTAATAGTTTCCACCGTCGGTCACTTTATCTCAATGGGCGTTGTGTTGTTCATGTAAGATTTTCTACAATTTTTATTTAAGCTACAAGTTCCGTCGTGTAACAAGTAAAAATATAAATTATTAACCCTTTGGACAGTTTTGATCCATTTACAATCATAAACGAGCTAGGTACCTTACCTTTCTTTTCTGTCCCTGGGTAGCATTAACAGCAAACTAATATTGCTAATGTCCTTTTTGTCCCAAATTTAATCACGGCTATGACTGCGTTGAGAGCAATCTCTGACATCACTGTCAATTATTGTTCCGCTTATAATGCCAGTAATGTACCAACAAAGCTTTTTATTGTCTTTCTCTTTAGGACCTCAGTAGCATGAATTAAATATTTTATACAAACGCGTACGGTTATTTACTGATATCTGAATCTGATCTCACTGCTCCAGGTCATTATAATTTCACGAAATAGTTGTCAAGTGAAAGAATTAAATTTTTATTTCTAATTTATAAACTTTTGTACAGATTATCAGTCAGGATTTAGAACGAGTTATATGAATGGCTTGCATTTCCTTCCGCCTGACGTTTAGGGTATTTCTTTCATTAATTTGCAGCCAGAAGGGGACAAAAGGCTTAATGAGGCAGAAGAAATTCGACCAGATCCTCGCCGTGGCCGGTATTTGTTCCGCCATCCGTACTCCAGACTTGTGACTGCTTACCTGGTAGTATTTTTTAATTTTCTGATCTTCGCTGAAGACCCAGTCTCCCACAGCTATCGTGAATGTGTAATTGACGTCATAGGAGAGATATACACTTTCATATTTATAAGGTGAGGAGATCACGGTCGGCTTGGTTTTTTCATTTGAATGATAAAAATGTGTGATCTTATCTCAAGACACAGTATTTACATTGCGGTAAGAGATAAGATGACGTTTATGGCGAACCGCAAACAACAACCATAAGCGTCATTTTACCTCTCAAACGGTCAGCATCTTTAATCTTTTAGAACAGCAAGATAAATCCGCTTTCAAAAGAGCTATTAATAATCATATGCTAGGTGCCATCATTCCCAAAGAAAAAGAACTAGTATATAATTTGCGTAGGAGAAGGTGTCACCTTCCTCAGATAGAAACGGAGAGATACAAGAAAACTTTTGTAAATAGACTTGTTTTTAAATATAATTTAGTATAGTATTATTCTATCTTATATTACTATTGTATTTTATCGTGTATCTTTTAATACATTTTCACTGTAACTTAGGATATGTATTTTTATCCTTTGATTGAATAAAGACTATTATTATTATTATCATTAGAGATACCCAAACCACAATTTTCCACTTTAGAAACGAGGAGACAGGTGCTGAAATGTCTGGGACCTTTACTGGTGACGCGCCGCTCAGCTGTAGGCGAATCCTTGTTACATTTCTTGCCTTATTAGCATAGGCTGGTCATTATCTGATAAAGCTAAAAAAAATGAGATTACTGAATATCGAAAGAGCATAACAATTTCAGTTATCCCTGACAATTTGAGCCCGATATACCAAATATTTTCGGAGAAATTCTCTTTGAAAAACCTCTAAAATTTACAAAGACTGTATTAGCCAAAAACGTTTTGCCACCTAGTACTTTTGCAGTTTTTAATTGGACTGACGAGGCTCGAAGAGCGAAATATATTTCGAGGTTTTTAAAACTTTTTTATTATTTATTATTATTTTTTATTTTTACATTTTACATTTCGTGTACGTACGTTGAATGTGGTAAAGACTTGATGTCTTATTTTGCAAGTAGTTCAAGTTAATTGGTGCTAATTTCTTTGCTACTGATTACAAGGAGCTGAAACGTGCACAAACTGCATAAATCAACCAGCTCTTTCAAGTTTTAAAAGAGCTCTTTTTTAAATTAAAATTTTTGAACCTTCTTGGTATATACAGCTATACATCTTCTATGGGTTAACTCGTATGCTAATGAGCAAAAATGTAAACAATGATGTCACGATGAATCCGCCTATTGGCCATTTTTTCCCTGTCCCCTAGTCGCAGAAGTCTCTGCGTAATTTAACTCAGTCGACCAAGTTTCTTCCTCGTTAATTTTGAAAGTGGCGGATTGCTAATGTTTTAAATTTGTTAATGCAGTCTAAGAATACATTTCGGCTTATGTCCGTTTAAGTGAAAAAACTCTAAAAGATAAACGAGAGCGGTCCCGTAGTGATTTTTGCTGTGAAAATTCTCTCTATTAAAAATGCAGTCTCGTAATAAAGTAGAAATTGGGAAGACGGGCAGAAAAAGCTGTGCTAACTCTACCTTTTTCTTTCTTCAGAACTCGGCTAGATTGCTAACTGTCCCTCAGGATTGTCGCGCGAGCGAGCATATTACGAACGAACACGCGAGGCAAACGCGCGAGGAAGGAGAAGCTTCTTCCCCGCACGTTTACCTCGCTAGCTCGCACCTAACATTGCTAGCAGTCTACATGATGGTAAATAACCTTAGCATATCTTTTGATGTTATATTTAGATCTCTTTGCGAGCTGAGAACTTCAAATTTAAGCTTAAATGAGGACAGTATCACCCTTGTCAGTGTCCCTTTGGGAGATTATCACTGCATGTCATAGCAGGCCTTAGGCCAAAAGTGTCAGCTTTTCCTCTAATTTTCAGATGGCCTCGTGGCTCATTTTCTCTGATCAAGTTCACCTGTTGGATGTTTGCGCTCATCCTTGGGATGTGTATAGGCAAGTGGATCGTTCATGGCTGGTTCTTCTGCAAAAAGCTCAAGCTTAAAATCTTTACTGAAGATGGTCAAGGTTCATGGATGGTCATGTTCCTCACATCTCTATTATCATTGTTTATCTTTAGTTTTGCTTACAACGGTTTCCTCATGCTTGAAGGTAAAAACATCTCTTTAATTTAATACTACAGTCGCCTTAATATTACTCTGTGAGCAGGGGTCCCTTTGCCAGGAAGACTGGCGGGTCTCCTGGTTGGTGAATACAAATATTGGTAGAAGGCAAATGTTGGTATTGGCTAAAATATTGGAGCTTTTAACCGGAACCAATGCACATCCAACATTAATCGGCCAATCACGGTATTCGTGTTCGCAATAAAGGTTTACTTCAGTTTCTGACGGGGGGGGGGGGACAAGGATCGCGCAGTGGTGAGAGCACTTACCTCTCACTAAAGTGGTCAAATCCAGGCGTCGACACCATATGTGGGTTGAGCTTGTTGTTCGCTCTCTCTTTTGCTCCGAGAGGTTTGTCTCCGAGTACTTTGGTTTTCTTTTCTCCTCAAAAACCAACATTTTCAAATCCCAATTCAACCAGAAATGGTAGACGAAGAGGCACTATAAATATAAGTGCATACCCAAATTTTCAACATAATTAATGTCTCATATTAATATAGGTCTTCCCTTTTTGTTTTATGTCGGCAGACAAAGAAAGTGAGATGGAAAAGTTAAAATCTGCGGCGTAACTTAGCTGGTTTAGCACGGGGACAGGGGGTTTCAATTGAGAGGGGACTGGAAAATGAATTCTTGAATTTCCGCATTTTTTAAAAAATTTGTACTCGCGACCCCACCGCTCAGCCCTGCCTTGTAACCCTTTCATATGCTAGGGTATAGCATACTTAGAATGACTTGAATTGGGTTAATGAACAATCTTTCTCCATAAACCTATTCCTGCTTTTCTTGAAAAGCCATGTCTTTATTTTTGAAGCCCAGTTCACTTGGGTGACCAGCTCGTATTCCTGGTAAGCGTTAAGATAAATTATTGTTCATTCAAAATATTTCCCCAATTCTGATTGGCTAAAAGCACACGCATAATTCACCATAACCAGTTACTGATGACCAAAAAAATGCAGCGTTCTTGCAGGTTAAGGCACCGTTAACCGAGAAGACCTGTGGACGAGGTTGAGTTGTTTGTTTGTTCTCGGAGGGTGTTATCCACCTCGGCCCTCGGCCTCGATAGATAACACCCTCCTCGATCTGCTTAATTCTTCATATCCTACTCAGCCTCATTCATTAATTGCTAAGTAACAGACAATGGTTGTTTTTTCTCCAGGTAAATACATGGATAGAATGCATGCTAGCCATCGAATGGGAATGGAGAACCAAACATTCATGAAGGTGGCGGCCATCTGCACGTGGCTTGGAGATTTTATTACTGCGTGGATGGTCACAGACATGATGCTCCAGGTAAATACCCATATTATTTTTCCTTTAACCAACACTGAATGTGCCATTCATTGTTGGGTTGTTTACTTTACTAAAAGTGATCGTATCAGGCATTGAGATTCACGGGGGACAGACGGACAAATTGCATTTGCTCGAAATATCCATACGTAATTGTTCATCATTAGGATGCACTAAATCTCACAATTGGTTTCGGCTGCATTAAATTCTATGCTACTAGATGTAGAACATTTTAGAAGGAAACACCCGCAATTGTTGAAATGTTATTAAAATAATCGTCATAGTTTTAAGTTTCAACCAGGTGATTTTAAGGTGGCTCGACCCAGTATTTTGAAAAGCAAATTAACATTCCATCTTTGGGTCTCTTATACCTAGACAGCTGGATCTTTACTGTATAAACTAAACTGTATTATGATATTATTTGTTCACGTGACAATGAGGTCACATATTTTTAGCCTTCTTTGGAAATACTCTACTTCTCAGCTACGCTATGTAAACTTTGCGTGCTTGCCTTTTGCTGTGCAAAGCGGTTTCACAAAAAAGCTGAAAGTGATTTGTTGAAAACTAACGATAATATAGCTTTGCAAAGTGGCTAAATTATACATGACGGGCGTTTGTTGTTGAGGGGCAAGTTCGTGTGACCCGCCATCAAACGTCTGTAAAAATCGTGACTTTCTGGAGCGATATCTTCGCTCGCTTTGGACGTATCTTTGTCCAAACGTGAAAAAATCCGTGGAAGGATCTATTCGCAGCTCTTTATGCACGTCACTCTGACGTCACTTTCCATTTCTTAATACAGGGAGTACAGTATGCACACTGGGCCCCAGGTCTCCGCCGCTTCTGGAAGAAAGGCCTGAACAGAGTATACGCGTTTTGGTTTGTGTTCGTTACTATGACAATAGTAGTGAGTACAGCAATCTCTACGGACTACGTGAATTGGGACAGACTAAACAGAGATTTTGTGGCTACTAATGAACTGTCCAGGGCATTTCTGGCATCTTTTATTCTTGTGATGGATTTAATGATAGTTATGCAGGTACGATTGCGTTAGGAAATCTTAGAGGGCTTTAAATTAACAAATGATAACTTCAACGAAAGTTAACTGTAAACCAGCTAACATGAACTTAGAGGATGAAGGGAAATTCCCCATGAAAAAGGACATTCAAAATGCTTTAAATGTCTTTTATGTAAATGAATCTTTTGTTAGCTTGATTCGTCGCGACGGCTTACGGGGGCTTGTCAAAAAATATAAAAAAATTTCATCATTTTTTACTGCATGACGGTTCGCAGAAAATGGCAGTGGGAGGTATCCAAACGTAAGAAACGCTTGCAGGGTCATTGTGACTTATGCAGTTCTCGCTGTAGTACAGTCGGTGGCATAGCTCATACTCTTGGCTCAAAGGAAATGTGTCATGACGTTTTTGGGTATTTCTTTAAAACGCGAAAAACGAATCAAAGAATACCCTGAAATAATGGCTCAGCTTTGTCAGTTAAAAGTTACTCTATTACTATACATAAACTAGGTCTTTGGATTTCAATGACCGAGTGGACGGATTGCAACTTGAAAAATATTAAGCCAATTTTTTCAAGTTTTTAAACTCCTGTGTTGCGAAAGTGACCAAAAAAGGTCATGGTTTGTTTTCCCTTGATTGAATCATCTGATATATATTTTTTCAAGTACCGTGTATGAAAACAGATGTCTGTGAATACTTAGCAAAATTTCAGCTCAGCTTTGACCATAACATGTGAAACCTTAAATTTCCGCTGTTTGCGAGTTCAATGCTAGATCAGGACGCATTTCTACACTAAGCCATTCTTAAGTTAAAAAAAACTCTTACTTTTAACATGAATTTACTTTGTTTCAAGGATTGGGATTTTCCGCACTTTGCCGGATCGCTGGACATAAAGCTACCAGGGGTGAACTCAAATGCTTTCGATGTCCATATCCCAACATGCTGTGGTGCGAAACCACTCGATATTTACATTACAGGCAAATGGTTTAACTATGGTATCATATTCATCGTAATGATCCTTGATCTGAACATGTGGAAAAATCAGATATTTTACGAACCTTTCACTCACGGCCAATATACGGACCCTGAAGGATATATATACACCGTATCAGACCGGCAATTCTTGAGATGGGGAAACAGAACTCTTATGACGTACGAATGGCGCTGGAATCACATTAATCCTAAGACCAACAGGACCTATGGATTGGAGGACGTACGAATGAACTCAAAGTACAAGGGATATTCCTTGACGCTAAAATGTATTGCATTTGTTCCTTCAATCGCCGCATTTTGTATCTTTGGTTACCTGTTGTGGCTCTTCGGTTTAGAGGAGAACCCGGATGAAGCATTAGTACACAAGTATCGCCGGGATATCAGACATCATAGGCAGATGAAGAGGTTGAGAAAAAAGAAAAGATTAGAAGAAAGAATGGCTAAAGCCAAGTTGTCAGGGCAACCGGACGACGCAGTTAGTTGGGTAAGTATAGCCTGCGTGCAAGCTCTCCATTTGGGCGATATCGTGAAAAGTAGACGCGCGAGAGCCACGCGAGAGGAGACGCGAAAGCGGGGGACGGCCCCACGCGGCTTCACCGCTCGCTCACGCGTTCTCGCGCGGCTCGATTTACTCGCCCAAATAGAAGAGCTTCCTCGCAAGCTAGGGTAAGTATTAAATTGACACTAATATACTGATAGTGTGATATAGAGTTATTCTGAAAACCACCGGTAACAAATACGGTATGTAGTTTTCAAAAACTCTAATGCTATCCATTTTGTATCTGCTGTTACTTAATTGTCACTCAACTACTTTGAATGGTTAATTTTTTTTCAGCCAGTTTGGTGGCCACTGAGTTTTCAGTGGTTTAATTCGGCTAAATTGATTGACATAGCTCCTTCACTTTTTTGCACGAAAAATCTGGAAAAGGAACTATCTGATAACAGACAGTCCTATGTATCTAACTTTATTGACTTGTATTTCCTGTTTGAAGCCGAGGCCTTTTACAATATCAGATCACCACAGGAACACAGCTCTGTCTACTTCTCCATCCGCTCAACGAAGGAGTGGCGTCGACATAATAGACATGACCCTTTTTGATGGTTTCAATTCAGCAAATCACTCAAATACCAACGAAGAGTCTACGAACCAGTCAGAAGAAGAGAAACCAAGAACGAAAAAGAACTTTGCTTATTACTTCCGGCATCCTTACTTTCGAATAGCAACGTCTTATTTAGTGGTGTTCTGTAATTTCCTGATCTTTGCTGAGGACCCTGTCTCCCATAGCTACACCGATTGCATCATTGACATCATCGGGAATATGTACGGGTTTGTGTTCGCGAGGTAAGTAGATTATTATACACTTTAAGTCATGACCAGATACCGTGGGAAAGAATTAGTTTTGTTTTCTCGGGAAAAAACGCGAAGGAAAACAAAACTGCTTGTAGCTATGTTATACATGTATTCAGGGTTCGAGAGGGGAAGGTCTAGATAATTACTGAATGCATCACGATCGGGATACATGTGAATTTAGTCAAGGCCACAAGACTAAAAATCAACCAACGGAAGTCTCTGTTTAGTTGAGTTAAGTCTGGGAATATAACTCTGATAATTATTAGTGATTGAATGGACGACGGCGGGTTTAGTTCGCGGGTTGTTAAAGGGCTGGCCACGAGATCGCGGGCTCGATCCCCGAGACCGGACCAATGCTAAGAGTCTACATGTAAAACCTGAAAACGTATTAGGTATGGCGCCCCTAACCCTAGGCACCAGAAACGTAATGTTCGTCCCTTGAATGGCTTTAGGGGACATAAAATTTAATGTCCTTCATAATCATTTGTGGGTAGTTTTTGAGACTCGAAGCTCAACATGATAGATTTACGCTGCTCTGACCGTGATCTCCTGATCATTAATATCTTACAACGGGAATAAATTTCGGTTGAAACAAAGTAAGTCTTAGTTTAACCATGAAGCACGCACTTGAAGGATTGGCATATCCCCTCAGTGTCGGGATTATTGGAAATTTTGCTGTTTTGAAATCGGAGCATGCCCCATTACGTCTCATGAGAGTTTTCACATCGTTCCTTTTCAGATATCCACCCGATCGTGGCTTTGTCGCCCTAAAAATCTTCATGTATTTGTTCGCCATCGGTCTGGGTATGTTGGTAGGGAAATTCTTCATCCACAAATTCCTCCTTTGCCGCGTTCTCAAGCTACGTATGTTCTCTGAAGACGGTCAAGGATCGTGGATGGTAATGTTCCTCACTGTACTTATATTCCTGTTTATTATAAGCTTCATATACAACGAGTTCTTGCTCCTCGGTGGCGCACACTTTGCGCCGTATGTAACCAGTCATAACCTGGGAATTCAGAATCAGACATTTATGAAGATGGCAGCTATAGGCACTTGGCTGGGTGACTTTATCACCGCATGGATGGTAACGGACATGATGCTGCAGGTAAGGAGCTCAAAAGGTCATTCTGTTGAAGCGCGCCAGTTTCGGTGAATGAAATATAGTACCTCGTTACGGACATAAATGATCCTACGGGAAGCTAAATCAAAACTTGATAGCTAAATTGGCCAGGTAGTTTGTTTGTTTGCTTGTTTATGTGCTTTAATTTTGTCTTTGTTTGTTTGTTGTTTTCAGGTCTGTCGTATTTACAGCGCTGTAAATATATAAAGTAGTCCTGAAAAAAGGTTTCTTGTCTGGTTCAGCATAGCAACTTAACTTTTGCTGCGTATGTGCCGCTAGCCTAGCTCTCAGAGCCCCTACCATTTATAGTCTATTCTGTGGCCAATTATAGACCCAATCTTAAAGTTTAGTCACTTTTGGGCAAATAAGTAATTTTCGTGATCCCAACTGAGTCACTTTATATTTTTATGGATTGACCTACTTTTTAGATCGAATGAAGAACACTTTACCTTTCATCTGGTACATTTGCTGACTTTAAATATGAAGAACTGTCTGATCTTACCCAAAAAATTCCGAAGATGTGCGACCCCATTCTATTAACTCTATTGAAAATGCGACCCCATTATAGTCAATGCAGTCGTTAAAATGCGACCCCATCTTGCGGCACATCCCCATTAGCCTCTTATAAGGAAGTACCCCGGGCACTTTTCATTACATCAACTTTATACATTGAATGAATTTCCTGGACAACAATGTTTCTAATTTGTATTTTCAACCTTTTTTGCATTGCTTGGTAGTTTTAATTAAGCGGAGGATTTTTTTGTCTACCGAAAAAAGTGCATAATTAGCAATTTTACGACTTTCGAGGTGTCTAAACGAACTAGCCTTCGTTTGGTTCTTTGGGTCCTTATCTAAAATAGAAGTTTAACCATTCCTAGCCTAGTTTTTTGAAAAATTACGTCTTTGTTCGGCTTTCTAATAGTCCGTTTTTCTTAGCTTCCAGTTCCCCAAGGACGGAAAGGTCCACTCGTGGGCAAGTTGATCTGTTTCTATAATCGTATTTGTGGGTGATGTGAAGTCACTTTTATCAATATAACGATAATAAACTCAATTCCATGCGCTTAACAGATGAGCCGTTACAAACAAAATGGGAGGTTTCACTTAAATAAAAGTTCCGTCTAGTCAATTGTGGATTTTTATTATGCTCAAATTTTGGCCTTATTTTTAGTTACCCCTCGAATGTCACCTTTTTCTCCGCGCATGCGTTTTATGTAGATATATTCACCTGTCCCACAAGGTTTCCCTCGGCAGGTTGAAAATAATCCTCTAGGCTACACTGTTCACAGCATCTCTGGTTTTTCTTCATAACGAACAAATCTTTCGCCTTTTACTAAAGATTTCCGTGGAGGAGAACAATGGAATGAGTGTACGACTAATTTTTCGTCGCCCTGCCTGGAAGCGGGGCCCACGATAAGATACAAAAGTTTCCACACAGTCGACACCCGCTTTACGGAACAGGCGCCTCGTTATTCAGATTATTACGGACAGTTTGCTTGATTCCTGAAGAAAGGAAGCCATTACATTTTCTCTAAATTCCACCCGCTTAATACGGACATTTTGTATGGCCAGTTCAGTGTCCGTATTAACCTGACTGTAGTTACAAAAGCTCTCATACTTGCCCTTCTCTCCTTTTCAGGAGGACCACTATCCTCAATGGAGCCCAGCCCTCAGAAGGTTTTGGAGACGCGGTCGCAACCGTGTGTATGCATTCTGGTTTATCTCATTCAGTATGAGTGCCGTGGTAGCTACTGCCATTACAACTGATTATCTTAACTGGGACGAGATCAGCAGGGACTTTATGCCCACAAATGAACTATCCAGGGCTTTTCTGGCTTCATTTATTCTTGTTATGGACCTTTTCATTGTCATGCAGGTACAGTCAATCCCTTTGAAAAAAGGCCAAGAAAACATTTCCAGTCCCTTGGTTATTCACGATCAGTGTACACTCTTGTCCGAATTTTTAACTAAGGTCACGGTACAGGCCATTGACTTTTGGACTCAGCAGCCGTCTTGTCTTATTCCGTACACAGTTCAGGGACTTGAGCCGGAGTCCGACTGTTTCTAATTTTTTAACTGAGATAAATTTTGCCGAGTACTCAAATAAGCTCATCCTTGCAAGAAAAGTTCTTAAATTGGCCTATTTTTGAAAGCGGGGGTTTTTGAAACTTCTAAATGAAATAGGGATGGAATGGTGTTAGTTAAGAGAGGCAAGAAATCGCATTTTGCAGACAATAAGCACTTCCTAGAAAAAAATACCTCGCAAAATAAAACTGGAAGCCTATAAATTGCATCTCGGCAGAGAAAGCTTTTATACTCGTTTTTGCCTCTCCACTACATGTAGGTGAAGGTTCCACTCGCTCTGGGAACTTTAAAGGACAAAGCCCCCAAAACGCTGTATAGTATGCTATTGATAACTTGACTTCAAACAGTCATTACCCAAGTCAGTGACTGTCTTTCTCTTTTCACAGGATTGGGATTTCCCTTACTTTGATGGAAGTATGGATATCAAGCTTCCGGGTCTAAACACAGGAAATTTTCATTTCCGCCTTCCTGGAGGAGAGATTCGCATCACGGGAAAATGGTTCAACTATGGCATCATCTTCATTGTTATGATCCTTGATCTCAACATGTGGAAGAACCAAATATTTTACGAACCTTTTGTGTATGGCCAGTACACTGATGACCAACAGTACATCTACACTGTTTCCGATAAAGATTTCCTTGCCAATGCAACTGATGAAACTTTGAGTTACGCATGGAGATGGACGCATGTTAATCCTCTGACCAACAAGACTTACGGCTCAGAAGATCAAAAGATGAACTCAAGATATATAGGGTATCCTCTGAGTGCCAAGGGCACGGCTTTCATTCCATCGCTTCTGGTATTTACCATGTTTGGTATACTTGTCAAGTATTTTTCTAAAGGTGGTCCGCCAAACAAAGTTGCGCCTGCCAACGAGATGAAAGATGTCATAGCAGATACAGCCGATGTAAAGGATGGCGCCGAGGATAGCTCGTCTTCACCACACATTACGATGAGCCGTCAATCAATGTCAAGTTATAAAAGTGAATATGCTGCCAACAAAACCCGAAAGCATGGTTCGTGTTTTAGTATGGATAGCTCACACGACAACCTTGAAAGTTCAGAAGATAATCTAGACAGTTCACGTGATAACCTGGAAAGCTCACGTGACGAGCTTCGTCGTTCGCGTGATGATCTGAGAAGTTCGGATGAGGATCTTCAAATTTTACCTGAAGGGATAGAGGAGCACAGCGTCAGCCGCCCGGCTTGGTCTGATAGCACACCAGAGAAGGTGCTTCCAGAGGTCAACGGGCCTAGGCGTGACAGTTTAACTGCTGACAAATCGTCAAAACGTCGTCAAAGTTCTACAGATCACCCGGACAAGAAAACTATGGCACAGGACATCTCTGTCACGAATCTTGATCTGGAGAGCGAACAAAGCAAAAAGAATGTACAGTCGGCTAAAACTTCCGTCCGTGACAGCAGCACAAGCGCCCTCTCATTTGGTGATCTATTTCGTAGAGACACACCCACTGGGTCAAGATCCGTAACTCAACTTTCAGATGTGGTATCCGATGATGAAATGAACAGTAATGTGGACGCTAAACCAGCTGTTGAGGAGGGAAACAACTTCCTTCAAATACCTCGGGCTTAGCAGAAAAACTCAAGCTATAGAACACTTATATTACAATTATTTGCATTGAACCAGGCTCCGCTATTTAGCATGGATGCGGTCTTGACTATTCGCACGTGCCTATGATAGAAATTGTCAAATATAGGCTGCAGTAGGCGGGATTTCTGCATTGGCAGAGTCTCATCTCCATATAACTGGTGGACCCCTGGGAACCACTCTGATCAAGACCCAAAGATGAGAAGGGGACCGGACCCCCAAAATAATTTTAGTTGACCTTGTAGACTTTAGATTAGGCTAAAGATAAGGTACCTTACAATCTTGGTCAAAACAAAAGGAAAACTTTAGAACTCCTTCCTCCCACAGTCTAGAAAATGGCCTTCGCGCGACTTCATTCTTGATTTTGGGAGGAAGAGGAGGGAGAGGTAAGATGTTCCATTTTATTCTGTCCAAGATTGAAGCTCCTGGCTTAACCTCTTAATCTAGCTCTTCTCCTTGCTAAGAAACAATAACTGCATTTATTCGCCTTAGTTTTCTGGCACCTTTGCACCTTGAAGAGTAAAAGATTGATAACAGATAAAAAGACAAACAAAATAGAAAGAAATAACCGCTGGACTAGTTTAAGAGTCGTTTAACTGGCTTGTTGGGTTAAAGTTGGACTGATGGGGATTGATTCGCTAGCCTTTAATTGATGAACTCTTGGTTTGCAAAGTGGTAAGGCGGCCATGCATTAAAAAAGGTTTAGTTTCCAGATTAGGGAAACGCTTTTGTTCTTGTCTACCAACATAGTGGTCGCGACATTAGCTACAAAACCATCACTAGTATATGTGTCAATATTCACAAAGACAACTCTGACTGTGATCACGAACCTTGATAAGGAAAACAAGCTAAATCACATGACCGACCGTGGGGCAATTTAAGACCTCTCAGTCTAGAAGTGTATTAAATTTGGATAGATCTGTATAGAAATCTTAGACCTCATATTGGAGCCTTCCCTACCTTGAAAAAAAAAACTTGAACAGACGTCGTCCAAAAGGCTGTTAGCTTGGCCTACTCCTCTTCAAGATCCCTGCTTTTGTTGGTCACCATAGCATTAGCTTACGAGAAAGGGGACAAAAGATCCTCTGGATACTTGGCTGTTCCTGTCAAAGGACCAGTTGGAGGAGCCGACGGGACACTGGCTGTTTTTGCAATTAATTCGTTTATTTTTCTATTTCAAAAGACTCAGATAAACTTACCCTGGACGCGAAAAGATCCAACAACAACAGCATCAATACCCAGCGCCTTTTTTCTTTCTTTCTTTTTTTTGGTAACGGTGGTGGGGAACACCACATGGAGCGAGAAGAGGAGGCGCCTGCTGTGAGTGCCCTAGTTTACCCTTTTTCTACGATCTCTGGCATTCCATTTTTATTGGCTACAAGCGCCCTTGGGGGTTAGTCTGTCTGTCTCTTTTCTTTTTCTCCCCTCGTGTGCGCGCGTCCTCGAAATTTCGCCCTTTGCCCTGATAAAACCCGGCGCCTGCTACGCAGGCTACAACAACTTAAAGCGGAACCAGGCGCTAGTGTCACAAATTGTATTTTAATGAGTGATCCATTGGTACTGTTTTTAAACAAAAATCAGAGGACGTCTTACATACATAAATCGATTATTTCTGAGAAAGATATCAAAAATTACAATTTTCAACCAAGAATGAGAATAAAAAAGGAAGACTACCAGCCCTTCTTGTCAATTTTCTTTTTCTTCTTTGGTTTTGGACGCCATATTGGCTTTTGGGAAGCTGCACATACTACACATTCGGCAGCTTCGTTTTCCAACCGCACCTGTCTGTCAAGAGAAAAAACATTCTCAGATTATTAACTTAGATGCTGTATTTTCTATCTTTAGGTACTAATTAGTCGCCAGATCTGCCTTTCATGCACCCCTGCGTATTCAAATCGTCTGAGAAACACATAAATTCCATACTGATGACGCGTCACTACCGAGATATGGGTAATTTCTCTGATTGGTCGTGCCGCGTGGGAAATTTGATTCAACCAATCAGAAGCACTACCCAGATCTGGGTAGTGACGCGTCATCAGTATGGAATATCTGCCCTAGTTTCTCACACGTCATTTGGCGGGGAAACCAGTTGTAGCGTTTTCACAGGCTATTTAATTTTTAGATCACTGGAAGTTTTAAGCGAGTCGCAAATCTGATTTCTCTACAAAGCGTTTTACAAATGACATTTGTTAAACTCCATGACTGATGATTTGATGTTCAGGTCAAAAACGAAAGGACTACGGACAATGTACGGAAACTACCAGTAAGAATTTGCTAAGAACAACCTCGCGTTGTTCAAAGACGATCACATGTGAGGTAATTTAGAAAACGCTACAACAGTATAACATTGTAAGTCTAAAAATTTTCCAAATAGCAAACTAGTTTGCGCTTCTTGAGGATCAATTCTGTTGTCGTGTTTTCCGAGTTGATCTACTTGCCACGTACATTTGTTTCAATTAAAAGGGCAAGTCGGGACTCACATACCTTCGTCTCCGAATAACATATCTGATCGTCTTGTTGATGAAGAGCAGGGTAGAAACCAACACAACACTTGTAATCAGTGTTCTAATGATTTCCTGTCTGGTAATACCACCGAACAGGGATCTGATGTATGTCACGTGACCTGTGGATAACAAAACAGTATATTATTACACTCAGAAAATTTCCAAGTCACTTGGATTAGACGGGTACGGCGAGTCAGGAGCACTCAACCTCAGTAAGTTTCTGCTATGTTTTGGTAAGAAAGTCCTATCTGGCGTTTGACTGAGCACCAGGCAACTTTTCAAAAAAAAAAAAAACCGTATCCAAGACCCCGAAAATACCCTTCCAGTTCCTGAGTCTGAAGTGTTTCCTTAGCTGCTACGGTCAAGCTGTACTGATATAATTTACTTTACAAACAGGATCTTCACTTACTCTTAACGTGTACAGCGTACAGCTCAGAAACAGTATCAATGAAGGCGCAAATCGAAGTGAAACAGAAATTAATAATCCATGCAATCGTATCCCAAATTCCGTTAGCCAGGTCAGTGAGTTGGTACCAAGTCCACTCTGCAAAATCGGTTGCTTTGTCCCAAGTCCACCGAGCTATCCACAAGATTTGCTGCCAGGTCCACTCAGCCATAAACGGGGCCTTGTCAAAGATCTACTCTGCCGTAAATTTAACTCCACCGCAAAATTTACAGGTCATTGTCGCCACAAAGTCAACAGTTGTTTTTGATGCCCTGTTTACTCCGTTCCATGTCCAAGCTGTTATCACCACTGTATTCCTGCGTAATTTGTTCCATGTCTGCTCCATTAGACTCAGAGGCCTGGGCTCACAAGTTTGGTTGTTGTAGTGATTTGGAAGAGGCACACTTTCTGGGTTCAAACAGGTTTGCGAGTCGTGATTCTAAATAAAAATCAAGAATTTTAAAAGTAAAAGTGAAACTGATCAAGAGCTTTAGGACTATTATCTTGTGATTGTTCAATGGTAAAAAGTTTTAATCTACGTGCGCTTCTTTTGAAACTATCAGAAAATCAATCAACGACATTTTATTCATGAAAATAAATAATATGTTTGCCTTTTAGCAATTAGATGCAAGCTTTGAAGTTTGACTGATCATTTAGTGACTTTACTTTGGTGAAAGTTCAAACGCACTGACATGCACTGTGTGCGGTCTGTTACCTGTTCCTCTTGGAAAGTACTGTAGATATCGCCTTGTGCAGAGCCAGTCTCTCGAACAACCACTTTTAAGTCAAGTTTCAGGGTCTTAATTTGCATCTTGATGATATAATTCTGTCGTGAGAGCAGCAAAGAACACAAATAAAGGTTTGAAGAAAAGAAGAGAATAAACTAAGTAGTCTAACTAAATAAGTAAATGAATATCAAGTTAGCGCTTTTATATCATGCTTTTTTAATTATCTCTTCTTGTAAACAGTATGAAACCAAACTACGGGGTGTGGTCCCAACAATATTTTAAGAGTTCCAGTTACTTGGGTTATGTGAGGCCCAGTCTTTTAAATAACAAATATAAGTTAAGATAAAAATCCAAGACTTCAAAGTTATTTAAAATTGCCATTTGCTGCAAACGTGATTATAAATATCTATAATGGTTTAGTTTTTTCCTAGTCCCTAGGCCTCATTTTTCCTCGCTGCCAAAGCGTTTCGGGTCACGTGGTCCATGTTCCCCGCCAGTTCGACTCGGATACGTCACCGAAACGAATTGACCGAGAGGGACTGGGAAAACGCCGTACAGGGACCAGGCAAGTTTAGTTTATCGCAGCCGTTAAAGAAACCTTTACCTTTCCCTGCCAGTTTCCGATGACAGTTGCTCCATTTGCAAAGTCTTCATAAAAGAAATCTGGTTTTTCAGCCACTACAAGGTCTGCAGAAACAAAAGGAGGTTGTAACTTTCCAAAAGTTAACTTGGTCATCAAGTTCGATTTAAAATCTTTGCCTGAAAGTGGCGTAAACTTGACTTGGTTACAGATTACAGTTCACGGTAAGATTCTTGAAGAACAAAAATAATTCAAGATCATATAAAAACCCTGAACCCAAAAGATCAGAATTTTCATAGCTTTTACACCAGAGTTAAGTTTTGTCTGTGGCGCACAGTAATGTTAAAGATCTATAAAATGTTATCCTCTTCCCGAATTATTTGTTGAACACGTCACGAACAACCGTCGAAGCGCGAGCTAATGCAAGGAGTAATGCGCACGTGTAACATTCTTGGTACCATAGCAACTGAAATAAAGCTTGACTTTCGCAAAACATGATTTTAAAAAAGTGTAAAGTGTCCCTTTTTAAGAAAAAAAGGATTACTTATACGATAGATAAATGGCTCATAACATTCTAGATATTATATTGAGTTGGATGAAAAAATGATGCAAACGTTTGATTTTACTAATACAAATTATGCTGCAAACTTCCAGGAAAATATTTTTCATTACTCGAGAAAAACAAGCCGCCAGATCTCTTTTTAAGACGCCTAAAAATCTTACCTTTACGCTCTGCGTTAAGCGTAATTGAAAGAAGAAGTAAGCCCACCAGCGCGGTAAGCAAAAATATAATCCTCATGATTACAACGAAAATTTTTTTCTTTTCACACGAAGCGCACGTCTGTTCGTTGCGAAGAGAAGTTCCAAATTATTTTATGACGTCATAATCAGAGTTGTAAAAAATCAGCTGGGCGCGGTTTATGCGCGCGCAAGTCGTATGTTTCTTTTATTTATTCTTGAGTTTTATTTTTGCTGTTATTTATCATTTTTCTATTTATGTATTCAGCTCTCTATCATTTGATACAAGTGCTGTTGGTTCTGGTTTCTGAGTTTGTACATTACGCATGCGTTCCATGTAAATAATATATATTCATAATCTGCCCACAAGGCTCTTCGCGTCACGCTCAACATAGTACTCTTGGCTTTCAAGTTACGTTACCTCTGGTTTTCCTTCATCACGCACAAATCTTTCGCCTTTTACTAAAGATTTCCGTGGAGGAGAACAATTGAATGAGTCTGTAGACTAATTTTTTATCGCCCTACCTTGAGGCGGGGCTCACAAAACAGATATTAATGCAAACCAATGTCGCCTGCGCTCCTAAGCGCATGCGTGAGTTTTGCCGTTTTCACTCAACATTTCTCTGTTCTAGTCTCTTACAAAAAGATCTGTTTTTAAAAAGAAAGGTGAAGTTTGGGGGAAGAAAATTTCAAAAAATAATTTTAGGACTATCACACAAGGCTTTCTGTCTTCTTGCTTCGCCTTCTTATTGCAATATGGTTTACGCTTTACAGCTGACTCGTTCCCAATTGTCTCTCAGTCTACTATTATATTTCAACGAGAGAAGCGCGGTTAAGGGGAGAGCGAGGCACGCGTGCTATCCAAATACAGATGACTGGGGACGAGTAAGGCTTTACGGTCAAGTGGCCCCCTCCCCACCAGTCCCCAAGGTTCTTTTTTCTTTCATGTTGTTTTTACTTTTGGTCTTCTTAGCTTTCTTTCCTTTGTTTCCGTGATCTTGGGGCATTGCAATACATCCCTTGAACAGCCAAAATACAAAAAAAATAAAACAAACAAATAAACAAAAACAAAAACAACTGCCGAGGCACCCGAAAGTCATCTCGCCTGCAGTTATGTCGCCCGAAATTTATAGTTAAGTTTCCCAAATGCTGAATTATGTTAAAGACTAAATGAAATTAAAATCAGTTTCTATAATATAGCTCCATTCATTACTGTAACATTAAAAATAAGTTCAGGAGCCCAAGAGCAAGTCATTAAAAAGTCCATTTTCAGACAACTCACTCATAGGACACTTTCCCAAGGCAGTCACTAAAGTGTCCATCATTAGAAAGATTTGACTGTTCAAAAAAAAATCAAGGGAAATAATTATTTCAAAAGTTCTAGTTGCTTGTTCCTTGGCTAGAAAACCTTTCTTAAAATTTGGCCCAAAATCATAGGGAACCTGACCCGCGTCGCCAACAATCCTCCATTTGCCCAGTAGGCGTGGTTACATTGGTGTAGTAACAAAATAGAAGCATGCGGCAGGGCAGAAAAACCGCGTCACTGAGAACATGCTTTAGCGCTTTCCGCTGACCATTTTCAAATGCAGTTGCTTTAAAAGAATGAGCAATCCAAAAGAGCTGTAGCATGGGACCAGGCTCCGCATTTTTACCCCGTTTTTTCCCTTTTTCCCCCACTGCGGAGCCTGGTTCCAGGCTAAAAGAGGTGCGGTCGAGGTATTACTCAGAGAAAGGTCTTGCATATAATAGTATCATTATGTTTTGCTTGCTTTTGAAACTAATCTTTGTGATTGTATTTCGTTTTAACAGACGGAGTCATGCATGTGCTTTCTTCGATAAATTTTCTCCTACGCGATCCTTGGTTTGGTTTTCCTGCAACAAGTCTTGGTGATCCGATAGTTACGCAACTGAGTTTAAAGGTAAGACATTTTTCGTCTTTGACATAGTGAACGTTTTCCGTGTTGATGAGTCTGAACCAGAATTTGCATTGGATGCTATTTACCCTCCATGAGATTGCGGCGGTGCAGCGTGCGCTGCGTGCAGGGCGTATGAGGCACTTAACAGTTTGCGAATCCACTGCCAAAAGTAACCAAACTTTCAAACAAAATAGCAGCTCATAGCACCCCTGAGCTATAAATTTACTAGACATTTTTAGCTGGTATGTTTTTTTTCCCATTTCAGACCGCGTGATGGTACCCTAGAGAACTGTTTTTCCAAGGACGGAAAGGTCAACTTGTGGGCAAGTTGATCTGTTTGTATGATCGTATTTGTGGGCGATGTGAAGTCGCTTTTATCAATACACCGACAACTCAAACTCCATGCTCTTAACAGACGAGCGGTTACAAACAAAATGGAAGGTTTCTCTCAAATAAAAGTTCCGTCTAGTCAATTGCGGATTCTTATTATGATCAAATTTTGGCCTTATTCTTTAGTTAGCTCTCGGATGTCACCCTTTTTTTTCCGCGCATGCGTTTTATGTAGATAATGTTCACCTGCTGTCCCACAAGGTTTTCCTCTGCACGTTGAAAATAATCCTTTAGGCTACGCTTTTCCCAGCATCTCTGATTCTCCTTCATAACGAACAAATCTTTCGCCTTTTACTAAAGATTTCCGTGGAGGAGAACAATGGAGTGAGTCTTAAAACTAATTTTTTGTTGCCCTGTCTTCAGGCGGGGCCCACGATACAATACGAAAGTTTCCACACAGTCGACCCCCGCTTTACGGAACGGGCACCTCGTTATTCCGACAGTTTGCTTGGTCCCGGAGAAAGAAAGCCATTACATTTTCTCTAACTTCGCCCTCTTAACATGGACACCCCATTAATACAGACATTTTCTATGGCCAATTCAGTGTGCTTATTAACGTGAATGCAGATCCACACCATAAGATGAGAAGGGGCCGGACCTCAAAGATAATTGTTGTCGACCTTGTAGACTTTAGATTGGGCTAAAGATACGGAAACTTACAATCTTGGACAAAATAAAAAGAAAATTTAGATAACCTCCCCCCTCCCCCCGCCCCCCACAGTCTAGAAAATGGCCTTCGCGCGACTTCATTCTTGATTTTGGGAGGATGAGGGGGAAGAGAAAAGATGTTCCATTTTATTCTGTCCAAGATTGTAGCTCCTGGCTTAACCTCTTAATCTAGCTCTTCTCCTTGCTAAGAAACAATAACTGCATTTATTCGCCTTAGTTTCCTTGCACCTTCGCACCTTGATGGGTAAAAAATTGATAATAGAAAAATGAACAAACAAAATAGAAAGAAATAACTGCGTACTAGTTTAACTCAGACTCGTTTAACTGCCTTGTTGGGTTAAAGTTAGACTGATGGGGATTGATTCACCAGCCTTTAATTGATGAATTCTTGGTTTGCAACGTGGTAAGGCGGCCATGCATTAAAAGAGGTTTAGTGTCCAGATTAGGGAAACGCTTTTGTTCTTCTCTACCAACATAGGGGTCGTGACATCAGCTACAAAAGCAAGACTAGTGTATGTGTCAATATTGCAAAGACAACTCTGACTGTGATCACGAACTTAACCTTTATATGGAAAACAAGCTAAATCACATGACCCATCGTATGAAAGGTTCTGTTCGTTCAGCAGGAGGTAGGGGCAACTTAAGACCTCTCAGTCTAGAAGTGTTTTAAATTTGGATAGATCTGGATAGGAATCTTAGACCTCATATTAGAGCCTTCCCTCCCTTGAAAAAAAAAAAAAAAAAAAGTCGTCCCAAAGGCTGTTAGCTTGACCTTCTCCTCTTCATGATCCCTGCTTTTGTTGGTCCCAAAAGCATCATTGTTAGCTTACGAGACCAGAGACAAAAGATCCTCTGGATACCTCGGCTGTTTCCGTTAAAGAACCCGTCGGAGGAGCAGACGTGACACCAGCTGTTTATGTAATTCGTTTATTGTTCTCTTTCAAATGACTCAGAACAACTTACCTTGGACGCAAAAAAAAAATACAACCACAGCATCAATACTTAGGGTCTTTTTCCTTTCTTTCTCTTTTTTTGCGAACGGTATTGGAGAACACGCTAAGGGAAGATTTACCCCATGTAAAGGACAGTCTTTGATTCTGGATTCCACGCCCTAAATTCCGGATTCCATGTACTTGATTCCGGTCTTTGTTAGTAAAATTTGGATTATATCGTTTGAGCTGTATTCCGGATTCCAAAACCAAGGATTCCGAATTTCACACAAGAAAAAATTTTCCGGATACCGGATCCAGATTTCCCCGACATGGTGCAAGAAGAGGAGGCGCCTGCAGTCAACGCCCTAGTTTTCCCGTTATCTACAATCTCTAGCAGTGTATAAAATTTCATTGGCTACAAGCACCCTTGGGGGTTGGTCTGTCTGTCTCTTTTCCTTTTCTCCCCCCGTGTGCGGGCGTCTTCAAAATTTCTCCCTTTGCCCTGATAAAACCCGGCGCCTGCTACGCAGGCTACTACAACTTAAAAGCGGAACCAGGCGATAGTGTCACAAATTTGTATTTTAATGAGTGATCCATTGGTACTGTTTTTGAACAAAAATCAGAGGACGTCTTACATACATAAATCGATTATATTTTGAGCAACATATCAAAAATTACAATTTTCAACCAAGAATAAGTCTAAAAGGGGAAGACTACCAGCCCTTCTTGTCAATTTTCTTTTTCTTCTTTGGTTTTGGACGCCATATTGGCTTTTGCGAAGCTGCAGATGCTACACGTCCGGTAGCTTCCTTTTCCAACCGCGCGTGTCTGTCAAGAAAAAAAACATTCTTAGATTATTAACTTAGATGCTGTATTTTCTATCTTTAGGTACTAATTAGTCGCCAGATCTGCCTTTCATACCCCCCCTTCATACTCAAATTTTGGACCTAGCAATAGCCTGAGAGAACAGCCGACATTTCGAGACTCCGCCACAGGTTTCCCCGCGAAATCACGTCTGAGAAACGTAGAAATTCCATACTCATGACGCGTCACTACCGAGATATTGATAGTTTTTCTGATTGGACAAGCTGCTTTAGCTAATCAGAAGCACCACCCAGATCTAGGTAGTGACGTGTCACTAGTACGGAATTTCTGCGCTAGCTTCTAGATCAGACTTAACTTCGCGGAGTTTCCTGCGGTGGTGTCGCGAAATGTCGACTGCTTTCTCAGGCTGACTCCACCACTGACGTCATCAGAATTCATACTTATCTTTGGGTCCTTTCAATTGTGCTAAGAAAGACTGCACCTATGTCATATTGTTTAATTTCTAGCCGGAGAAAACAGCCGACATTTGGCGACCTACCACTGGTTTCCCCTCCAAATGACGTCCGAGAAACGAGCGGAGAAACTCCATACTGATGACGCGTCACTTCCCAGATCTGGGTAGTGTTTCTAGTTGGTCGTGCTGCGTGGGAAATTTGATTCAACCAATCAGAAGCGCTACCCAGATCTCGGTGGTGGCGCGTCATCAGCATGGAATTTCTGCTTTAGTTTCACGGACGTCATTTGGCGGGGAAGCCAGTGATAGCGTCGCCAAATGCATGTTGGCCGTTTTCTTAAGCTATTTAATTAAGCTATTTAAACTGAAAGTTTTAAGCGAGTCGCAAAAACTGATTTCTCTACAAAGCGTTTTACAAATGACATTTGTAAAACTCCATGACTGATGATTTCATGTTCAGGTCAAAAACGAAAGGACTGCGGACACTGTACGGAAACTACCCGCAAGAATTTGCTAAGAACAACCTTGCGTTGTTTAAAGACGATCACCGGTGGGGTCATTTAGAAAACGCTACAACTGTATAACGGTGTAAATCTAAATATTTTCTAAACAGCAAACTAGTTGGCGCTTCTTGAGGATCAATTCTGTTGTCGTGTTTTCTGAGTTGAATTACTTGCCACATACATTTGTTTCAATTAAAAGTGCAAGTCAGGACTCACTTACCCTCGTCTCCTAATCACATATGTGATCGTCTTGTTAATGAAGAGCAGGGTAGAAACCAACACAAAACTTGTAATCAGTGTTCTGATTATTTCCTGTCTGGTAATACCACCGAACAGGGATCTGATGTATGTCACATGACCTGTGGATAACAAAACAGTACCTAATTATACAAAGCAAATTTCCAAGTCACTTGGATTAGACGGGTACGGCGAGTCAGGAGCACACAACCTCAGTGAGTTTCTGCTATGTTTTGGTAAGAAAGTCTTATCTCGCGTTTGACTGAGCACGAGAGACAGTCTACAGGGTCAAGGGTCTGAAAGGACGGGTCCTGATCCCGCATTCTCGGTTCCTTTTAAAGATATTTTTTGTTTTTCCGAGCGAATCCTGCACCGTATCCCAGATCCCGAAAATACCCTTCTGAAGTGTTTCCTTAGCTCCTACGGTCAAGCTTTGCTTATATAATTTACTTTACAAACAGGATCTTCACTTACTCTTAACGTATACAGCGTACAGCTCAGAAACGGTATCAATGAAGGCGCAAATCGAAGTAAAACAGAAATTAATAATCCATGCAATCGTATCCCAAATTCCGTTAGCCAGTTGAGTGAGTTGGCACCAAGTCCACTCTGCAAAATCGGTTGCTTTGTCCCAAGTCCACCGCGCCATCCACAAGATTCGCTGCCAGGTCCACTCAGCAATAAATGGCACATTGTCAAAGATCCACTCTGCGGTAAACTTAACTCCACCGCAAACTTTACAGGTCATTGTCGCCACAAAGTCAACAGTTGTTTTTGACGCCCTGTTTACTCCGTTCCATGTCCTACCTGTTATCACTACTGTATTCCTGCGTAATTTGTTCCATGTCTGCTCCGTTAAACTCAGAGGCATGGGTTCACAAGTTTGGTTGTTGAAGTGATTTGGAAGAGGTACACTTTCTGGCTTTAAACAGGTTTGCGAGTCGTGATTCTAAATAAAATCAAGGATTTTAAAAGTTGAAGTGAACCTGATCGGGAGTTTTAAGGCGATTATCTTGTGATTGTTCAATGGTAAAAAGTTTTAATCTACATGCGCTTCTTTTGAAACTATCAGAAAATCAATCAACGACATTTTATTCATGAAAATAAATAATATGTTTGCCTCTTAGCAATTAAATGCAAGCTTTGAAGTTTGACTGATCATTTAGTGACGTTACTTTTGTGAAAGTTCAAACGCACTGACATGCACTGTGTGCGGTCTGTTACCTGTTCCTCTTGGAAAGTACTGTAGACATCGCCCTGTGCAGAGCCAGTCTCTCGAACAACCACTTTTAAGTCAAGTTTCAGGGTTTTAATTTGCATCTTGATGACATAATTCTGTCGTGAGAGCAGCAAAGAACACAAATAAAGATTTGAAGAAAAGAAGGGAATAAACTACAATTGATGCTAATTAGTGTAATTACAAAGATGGGGTAGAAATAAGTGAATGCTCATCAAGTTAGCTCTTTTATATCATACTTTTTTATCTCTTTTTGCAAACTGTTTGAAACCAAACTTGAGGTGTAGCCTCAGTAATATTTAAGAGCTTCAGTTACTTGAAAGGAGTATCTTGCTTAAAATTTGGCTTAACCGTGGGTTAAGTCAGGCCCAGTGTTTTAGAGAACAAATATAAGTTATGATAAGAATCCCAGATTTCAAAGTTAGTTAAAATAGCTAGCTGTATCGAAAGTATAATAAGCAGAAAAAAACGACTATGGTAAGAAAGACAACAATAGAGAGATAGTAAAGGCCGGTTTCTGCAAACGGAAAACGGTAGATTCAAGTTAAGAATTTCTCAAAATAGAAAATAAGCTGATAAAAACAGCCCAAAGCCTTTCTTAAAGATGAAATCATGTGAAACTGGAAATTTTTTCTAGAAGCAAAGAACAGTTGAAGACAAGTAAAGAGAAAACTTGGTCACATGGTACAAATTCATTTGCAATTTGCCGCAAATGTGATTATAAATATCTCTAATGGTTTAATTTATCGCAGCCCTTAAAGAAACCTTTACCTTTCCGTGCCAGTTGCCGATGACAGTTGCTCCATTTGCGAAGTCTTCATAAAAGAAATCTGGTTTTTCAGCCACGACAGGGTCTGCAGAAGAAAAAAGAGGCTGTAACTTTTCAAAAGTGAACTTGGTCATCAAGTTCGATTTAAACCCTTTGCCTGAAAGTGACCGTAAACTTGACTTGGTTACTGATTATAGTTCACGGTGAGATTTTTGAAGAACAAAAATAATCCAAGATCATATAAAAACCCTCATCCCAAAACATCAGAATTTTCATAGCTACGTACACCAGGGTTTAGTTTTGTCCGTGGCGCAGAGTAATGTTAAACATCTATAAAGTGTTATCTTCTCCCGAATTATTTGTTGAACACGTCACGAGCAACCGTGGAAGCGCGAGCTAATGCAAGGAGTAATGCGCACGTGTAACATTCTATGTACCATAGCAACTGGAATAAAGCTTAACTTTCGCAAAACATCATGATTTTAAAAAAAGTGTGAAGTGCCCCTTTTTAAGAAAAAAAGATTACTTATACGATAGATAAATGGCCCATAACATTCTCCATATTATATAGAGTTGGATGAAAAAATGATGCCAACGTTTGATTTTACTAATACAAATTACGCTGCAAACTTCCAGGAAAATATTTTTCATTACTCGAAAAAAACAAGCCGCCCAATCTCTTTTTAAGACGCCTAAAGATCTTACCTTCACGCACTGCGTTAAGCGTAATTGAAAGCAGAAGTAAGCCCACCAACGCGGTAAGCAAAAATATAATCCTCATGATTACAACGAAACTTTTTGTCTTTTCACACGATGCGCACGTCTGTTTGCTTCGAAGAGAAGTTCCAAATGATTGTATGACATCATAATCAGAGTTTTACGAAATCAGCCGGGCGCGGTTTATGCGCGCGCAAATAGTATGTTTCTTTTATTAAATCTTGAGTTTTTGTTTTTGCTGTTATTTATCATTCATCTAATTATTTATGCGGTTTAGCTCTCTATCATTTGATACAAGCGCTCGTGGTTCTGGTCTCTGAGTTTGTACATTACGCATGCGTTTCATGCAATTGATATATATTTATAATCTGCCCACAAGGCTGTTTGTGTCACGCTCAACATATTACTCTTGGCTTTAAATTCCCGTTACCTCTGGTTTTCCTTCATCACGAACAAATCTTTCGCCTTTTACTAAAGATTTCCGTGGAGGAGAACAACTGAATGAGTCTGTAGACTAATTTTTCATCGCCCTGCCTTGAGGCGGGGCTCACAAAGCGGATATTAATGCAAACCAATGTCGCCTGCGCTCACTTAACATTTCTGTGTTCTAGTCTTTTACCGCAAAGATCTGCTTTTAAAGAGGAAGGTAAAGTTTAGCGGAAAAAATAACAAATAATAATTTAAGGACTATCACACAAGGTTTGCTGTCTTCTTCCTTCGCCTTCCTATTGCAAGATGGTTTACGCTTTACCGCTGACTCGTTCCCATTTGTCTCTCAGTCTATTATTATATCTCAACGAGAGAAGCGCGGTCAAGGGGAGAGCGAGGCAAGCGTGCGATCCAAATACAGATAACTGGGGACGAGTAAGGGTTTACGGTCAAGTGGTCCCCTTCCTACCAGTCCCCTAGGTTTTGTTTTCTTTCGCGTAGTTTTTACTTTTGGTCTTCTTAGTTTTCTTTCCCGTGTTTCCATGATCTTGGGGCATTGCAATACGTCCCTTGAACCGCCAATATACAAAAAGCAACAGGACCAAATAAACAAAAACAACAACAAAAAAAACGGCCAAGGCGCCTGAAAGTCATCTCGCAGCAGTTATGTCGCCCGAAATTTATAGTTAAGTCACCCAAACGCTGACTTATGTTAAAAGACTAAATGAAATCGAAATTAGTATCTATAATAGAGCTCGATTCATTACTGTAACAGCAAAAATAAGTTCAGAAAGGAGCCCAGGGGAAAGTCATCAGAAAGTCTACTTACAGACAACTCACTCATAGGACACTTTTCCAAGGCAGAGTGCTGACATTAAAGTGTCCATCATCAAAAGGACTTGACTGTTCAAAAAAGATCAAGGGAAATAATTATTTCAAGAGCTCTAGTTGCTTTTTCCTTGGCTAGAAAACTTTGCTTAAAATTTGGCCCAAATTCATTGGGAACCTGACCCATGTCGCCAACAATCCCCCATTTGCCCGGTAGGCGAGGTTACATTGGTGGAGTCACAAAATAAACGCATGCGGCAGGGCAGAAAAGCCGGTGATTTGTTAAAAAATTATACCACTGAGACGTTTTTAGCTTGTACGTTTTGTTATCCCCGTTTCAGACCGCGTGATGGTACCCTAGAGAACTGTTGCCCAAGGACGGAAAGGTCGACTTGTGGGCAGGTTGATCTGTTTGTATGATCGTATTTGTGGGCGATGTGAAGTCACTTTTATCAATACACCGATAACTCAAACTTCATGCGCTTAACAGATGAGCCGTTACAGACAAAATGGGAGGTTTCCCTTAAATACAAGTTCCGTCTAGTCAATTGCAGACTTTCATTATGATCAAATTTTGGCCTTATTCTTTAGTTGGCTCTCGAATGTCACCCTTTCTAGTAGCATGCGTTTTATGTAGATAATGTTCACCTTTCCCACAAGGTTTCCCTCGGCACGTTGAAAATAATCCTTTAGGCTACACTCTTCACAGCATCTCTGGTTTTCCTTCATAACGGACAAATCTTTCGCCTTTTACTAAAGATTTCTGTGGAGGACAACAACTGAATGAGTCTTATGATTAATTTTTCGTCGCCCTGCCTTGAGGCGGGGCCCACGATAAGATATGAAAGTTTCCACACAGACGACTCCCGCTTCATGGGACGGACACCTCGTTATTCAGATAGTTTGCTTGGTCCCTGAGATAGAAAGCCATTACATTTTCTCCGAAGTCAACCCTCTTAATACGGACACCCCATTAATACGGACATTTCTATGGCCATTTCAGTCTGCGTATTAACGTGACTGCAGATCCAGACCATAAGATAAGAAGGGGCCGGACCTCAAAAATAATTTTTAGACTTTAGATTGGGCTAAAGATAAGGTAACTTACAATCTTGGTCAAAATAAAAAAAAAAACTTTAGAACCCCTTCCCCCCCAGAGTCTAGAAAATGGCCTTCGCGCGACTTCACTCTTGATTTTGGGAGGATAAGGTGGGAGAGGTAAAATGTTCCATTTTATTCTGTCCAAGATTGTAGCTCCTGGCTTAACTTCTTAATCTAGCTCTTTTCCTTGCTAAGAAACAATAACTGCATTTATTCGCCTTAGTTTTCTGGCACCTTTGCACCTTGATGAGTAAAAAATGATAATAGATAAATAAACAAACAAAATAGAAAGAAATAATCGCTGTACTAGTTTAAGACTCGTTTAACTGGCTTGTTGGGTTAAAGTTAAACTGATGAGGATTGACTCACCAGCCTTAAACTGATAAATTCGTGGTTTGCAACGTGGCAATTAAGGCGGCCATGCATTAAAAAAGGTTTAGTTTCGAGATTAGGGAAACGCTTTTGCTCTTGTCTACCAACATAGCGGCCATGACATCAGCTACAAACCAACACTACCATATGTGTCAATATTGCAGAGACAACTCTGACTGTGGTCACGAACCTTGATAAGGAAAACAAGCTACATCACATGACCGACCGTATGAAAGGCTCTGTTCGTTTAGCAGCAGGTAGGTGCAATTTAAGACCTCTCCGTCTAGAAGTGTTTTAAATTTTGATAGGAATCTTAGACCCCTTATTGGAGCCTTCCCTCCCTTGAAAAAAACAGAAGTCGTCCCAAAGGCTGTTAGCTTGACCTACTCCTCTTAATGATCCCTGCTTTTGTTGGTCACCATAGCATTAGCTTACGAGACCAGAGACGCTACCTGTTTATGCACTTAATGCACTGGATTGGGGTCTTTGTTGGTAAAATTTTGATTCTGGATTCCAATCTTTAGAAGGGTTCCGGATTCTTTGAGCTGTATTCCAGATTCCAAAAACCAGGATTTCAGATTTCAGAAGAAAAAATTTCCCGGAGTCCGGAATCCAGATTTCCTCGACATGGAGCGAGATGAGGAGGCGCCTGCTGTCAACGGCCTAGTTTTCCCTTTTTCTACGATCTCTGGCAGTGCGTAGAATTTCATTGCCTACAAGCACCTTTGGGAATTAGTCTGTCTGTCTATTTTGCTTTTCTGTCCTCGTGTGCGCGCGTCCTCGAAATTTCTCCCTTTGCCCTGATAAAACCCAGCACCTGCTACGCAAGCTACAACAACTTAAAAGCGGAACCAGGCGATCGTGTCACAAATTGTATTTTAATGAGTGATCCATTGGTACTGTTTTTCAACAAAAATCAGAGGACGTCTTACATACATAAATCGATTATTTCTGAGCAATATATCAAAAATCACAATTTTCAACCAAGAATGAGAATAAAAGGGGACGACTACCAGCCCTTCTTGTCAATTTTCTTTTTCTTCCTTGATTTTGGGCGCCATATTTGCTTTTGGGAATCTGCAGATGCAACCCGTTCGGCAGCTTCCTTTTCCAACCGCGCCTGTCTGTCAAGAGAAAAAACATTCTTAGATTATTAACTCAGATGGTGTATTTTCTATCTTTAGGTACTAATTAGTCGCCCGATCTGCCTTTCATACCCCCCCCTGCATATTCAAATTTTGGACCTAGCAACACCCTGAGAGAACAACCGACATATTGCGACTCCGCCACTAGGTTTCCTCGCGAAATCACGTCTGAGGAACGCCGAAATTCCATACTGATGACGCGTCACTACGGAGATATGGGTAGTTTTTCTGATTGGTGAAGCTGCTTTGGCTAATCAGAAGCGCCACTCAGATCTGCGTAGTGATGCGTCATCAGTACGGAATTTCTGTGTTCGCTTCTTGATCACACGTCATTTCGCGGAGATTCCAGCGGTGGTTTCGCGAAATGTCGACTGCTTTCTCAGGCTAACTCAACCATTGACATCATCTGAATTGATACTCATCCTTGGATCCTTTCAATTGTGCTAAGAAAGACTACAACTCTATCATATTATTCAATTTCTAGATCACTGGAAGTTTTGATCGAGTCGCAAAAAGCTGATTTCTCTACAAAGCTTTTTACAAATGACATTTGTTAAACTCCATGACTGATGATTTAATGTTCAGGTCCAAAACGAAAGACTACGGCCTGTACGGAAACTACCCGCAAGAATTTGCTAAGAACAAGCTCGCGTTGTTCAAAGACAATCACTGGTGTGGTCATTTAGAAAACGCTACAACAATATAACATTGTAAGTCTATAAATTTTCTAAACAGCAAATTAGTTGGCGCTTCTTGAGTATCAATTCTGTTGTCGTGTTTTGTGAGTTGATGTACTTGCCATGTATACATTTGTTTCAATTCAAAGTGCAAGTCGGGACACACTTACCTTTGTCTCCGAATCACATATCTGATCGTCTTGTTAATGAAGAGCAGGGTAGAAACCAACACAAAACTTGTAATCAGTGTTCTGACTATTTCCTGTCTGGTAATACCACCAAACAGGGATCTGATGTATGTCATGTGACCTGTGTATAACAAAACAGTTTTTCATTACACTCAGCAAATTTCCAAATCACTTCGATTAGACGGGTACGGTGAGTTGAGCACACAACCTCGGAGAATTCTGTTATGTTTTGGTAAGAAAGTCTTATCTGGCGTTTGACTGAGCACCTACCCTGGGTGCCAAAGGCTTTTCATGCGCGGTTTCCGGTTTCGGTCAAGTCTTAAAAAGTGACCCGCGCGAACCGCTCGTGTCTTCGGCCTTTGGCCGAACACGTTTTTGCCTGCGGCCGACGAAACGAAGCTCCCCGTCGCACGCGAGAAAAAACCTCTGGTACCCAGGGTACTGATCACCAGACAATAGCAATACAGTCTGCAGTGTCTGCGGAGAGAGGTCCTGATCTCGCACTGTCGCTTCTTTTTTTAAAAAAAAAGAATACCGTTTCTCATCAAGATATTTTTCGTCTTTCCCAATCCCGCACCTTATCCCAGATTCCGAAAATGCCTCCCTGAGTTTCAGTGAAGTGTTTCTTTAGCTACTACGGTCAAGCTGTGCTCGATATAATTTACCTTACAAACAGGATCTTCACTTACTCTTAACGTATACAGCATACAGCTCAGAAACGGTACCAATGAAGGCGCAAATTGAAGTGAAGCAGAAATTAATTATCCTTTCAATCGTATCCCAAATTCCGTTAGCCAGGTAAGTCAGTTGGCACCAAGTCCACTCTGCAAAATCGGTTGCATTGTCCCAGGTCCACCGCGCCATCCACAAGATTCGCTGCCAGGTCCACTCAGCCATAAACGGCACCTTGTCAAAGATCCACTCTGCCGTAAACTTAACTCCACCGCAAAATTTACAGGCCATTGTCGCCACAAACTCAACAGTTGTTTTTGATGCCCTGTTTATTCCGTTCCATGTCCAAGCTGTTATCGCCACTGTATTCTTGAGTAATTTGTTCCATGTCTGCTCCGTTAGACTCAGAGGCCTGGGTTCACAAGTTTGGTTATTGTAGTGAGGTACACTTTCTGGGTTCAAACAGGTTTGCGAGTCGTGATTCTAAATAAAATCAAGAATTTTAAAAGCAAATACGAAACTGATCTGGAGTTTTAAGACGATTATCTTTTGATTGTTAAATGGCAAAAAGTCTAACCCTACGTTTGCTTCTTTTGAAACTATCAGAAAATGAATTAACCACAATTTATTCATGAAAATAAATAATATGTTTGCCTTTTAGCAATTAGATGCAAGCTTTGACGTTTTACTGATCATTTAGTGACGTTACTTTTTCGAACGTTCAGACGCACTGACATACACTGTGTACGGTTTTAGTTACCTTTTCCTCTTGGAAAGTACTGTAGATATCGTCTTGTGCAGAGCCAGTCTCTCGAACAACCACTTTTAAGTCAAGTTTCAGGGTTTTAATTTTCATCTTGATGATATAATTCTGTCGTGAGAGCAGCAAAGAACACAAATAAAGGTTTGAAGAAAAGAAGAAAATAAACTAGGTAGTCTAATTACAAAGATTGGCTAGAAATAAGTAAATGCATAGCAAGTTAGCGCTTTTATATTATGCTTTTTTAATTATCTCTTCTTGTAAACAGTTTGAAACCAAACTACGGGGTGTGGTCCCAACAATATTTTAAGAGCTCCAGTTACTTAAGATAACATCTTGCTTAAAATTTGGCTTAACCGTGGGTCAAGTGAGGCCCAGTGTTTTAAATAACCAAATATAAGTTATGATAAGGATCCAAGACTTCAAAGTTATTTAAACCAGCGAGCAGTGTCGAAAGTATACTAAACAGGAAAAAAGGCGACTATAGTAAGAAAGACAACAACAGAGAGATTTAGAGTCAAGGTTTCTGCAAACGGTAGACGGTAGATTCAGTTGTAGATTCAAGTTAACAATTTATAAAAATAGAAAATAAGCTGATAAAAACAGCTCAAAGCAATTCTTATAGATGAAATCATCTAAAACCGAAAATGTTTTGTAGAAGCAAATTAAAGAACGGTTAAAAACAGGTAAAGGGAAAACTTGGTTACGTGGTACAAATTTGATTCCCCATTTGCCGCAAATGTGATTATAAATATCTCTAATGGTTTAGTTTATCGCAGCCCTCAAAGAAACCTTTACCTTTCCCTGCCATTTTCCGATGACAGTTGCTCCATTTGCGAAGTCTTCATAAAAGAAATCTGGTTTTTCAGCCATGACAGGGTCTGCAGAAACAAAAGGAGGTTGTAACTTTTTAAAATTGAACTTGGTCATCAAGTTCGATTTAAAACCTTTGCCTGAAAGTGGCCGTAAACTTGACTTGGTTACTGATTATAGTTGACGGTGAGATTTTTGAAGAACAAAAATGTATTAAGATCATATAAAAACCCTGATCCTAAAAATCAGAATTTTCATACACCAGAGTTTAGTTTTGTCTGTGGCGCAGAGTAATGTTAAGCATCTATAAAGTGTTATCTTCTCCCGAATTATTTGTTGAACACGTCACGGGCAACCGTCGAAGCGCGAGGCAAGGAGTAATGCGCACGTGTAACATTCTATGTACCATAGCAACTAAAATAAAGCTTAACTTTCGCAAAACATCATGATTTTAAAAAAAGTGTGAGGTGCCCCTTTTTAAGAAAAAAACTTATGCGATAGATAAATGGCCCACAACATTCCCCATATTATATAGAGTTGGATGAAAAAATGATGCAAACGTTTGATTTTACTAATACAAATTATGCTGCAAACTTCCAGGAAAATATTTTTCATTACTCGAAAAAAAGGCAAGCCGCCCAATCTCTTTTTAAGACGCCTAAAGATCTTACCTTCACGCACTGCGTTAAGCGTAATTGAAAGCAGAAGTAAGCCCACCAACGCGGTAAGCAAAAATATAATCCTCATGATTACAACGAAACTTTTTGTCTTTTCACACGATGCGCACGTCTGTTTGCTTCGAAGAGAAGTTACAAATGATTGTATGATGTCATAATCACAGTTTTACGAAATCAGCTGGGCGCTATTCATGCGCGCGCAAGTAGTATGTTTCTTTTATTTAATCTTGAGTTTTTGTTTTTGCTGTTACCGGTATTTATCATTCATCTAATTATTGATGCGTTTAGCTCTCTATCATTTGATACAAGCGCTCGTGGTTCTGATTTCTGAGTTTGTATATTACGCATGCGTTTCATGTAATTGATATATATTTATAATCTGCCCACAAGGCTCTTCGCGTCACGCTCAACATAACACTCTTGGCTTTCAATTCACGTTACCTCTGGTTTTCCTTCATCACGAACAAATCTTTCGCCTTTTACTAAAGATTTCCGTGGAGGAGAACAACTGAATGAGTCTGTGGACCAATTTTTCATCGCCCTGCCTTAAGGCGGGGCTCACAAAACAGATATTAATGCAAACCAATGTCGCCTGCGCTCACTTAACATTTCTGTGTTCTAGTCTTTTACCGAAAAGATCTGCTTTTAAGTTGACTCGACCCAGTTTTTTTTGGCGGGGGGGTACCATCATACTTTGAAGCTCTCTGGTATCCCCACCTTTACTTTTATCGTAAGTCTAACACATAGAATGGATAACATATAGATCAGTCTACAATATAACATAAAATTTTTGGCGATCAGAGTAAATGTTACGTGGTTATAATGCCACGCCCCTTTGAGGTCTGAGTCGAAAATCTGCTGTTGCCGGCATTTTTTTGTGAAAATCTCTCGGCTACACATAGTGCCCATTAGTGCCTTGCGCTGAACAGAGTTTCACCAAAATCGTAAAGACCCAATTCGAGAAATTCAGCGGTTTCCAAATTTAGGTCATTATTTATGCGAAAATGATAAGCAAACTTTACACGATTATATGTAATAAATTATGAGACTTATCCCTTTATTTTGGAGATCGTTATAACAGATGGGTCCTTGCAAGTCAGCAAAACGCTTTAGGGCCTTGTAAATGCGCGCGATTTCGAGCAAAACAAACATATAGAAATTATAGTTTTCGCTATTTGTTGACGTTTGTCAGCGTTTAAGAGTCTTTCTCACGAAAAAAGCATTTTCTTAAAAATTCGTAGCTTTTTTTCCTTCAATTTTTTCAGGGCCACAAATGATTAACTATCTACCCGGACTCTGAATTTCATGGTCATTGAAAAACTGCCTCATTATCTTCTACAAGCCCAAACTTGAGTAAACATTGAAGATTTTTAGCGTTTTGGCCGAGTTTGTGCTTTGGGAGTTGTCTATTGTTTCTAGTCTGTCATTATAAAGCGTTCTTGTTCAGCACGCGTGCAATGACCACGCTTGGCTGACTTCCGAGTGCTCACCGAGATATGATAATTTAGTATGAGAAAATAGAAGGGATTCCCGTCATATAGATTGATCTATATCTTATCCATTCTATGTGTTAGACTTACGATAAAAGTAAAGGTGGGGATACCAGAGAGCTTCAAAGTAGGATGGTACCCCCCCCAAAAAACTGGGTCGAGTCACCGAAGGTAAAGTTTGGCGGAAAAAATAACAAATAATAATTTTGGAACTATCACACAAGGTTTGCTGTCTTCTTCCTTCGCCTTCCTATTGCAACATGGTTTACGCTTTACGGCTGACTCGTTTCCGTCTCAGTCTATTGTTATATTTCAACGAGAGAAGCGCGGTCAAGGGGAGAGCGAGGCACGCGTGCGATCCAAGTACAGGTGACTGGGGACGAGTTAGGCTTTACAGTTGGAGTGGCCCCTTCCTCTAGGTTTTGTTTTCTTTCGTGTTGTTTTTACTTGTGGTCTTCTTAGTTTTCTTCCCCTTGTTTCTGTGACCATCGGGCATTGCAGTGCGTCCCTTGAACCGCCAAAATCAGTGCAAAATTAAAAGAATCAAACAAACAAACAAACCAAAAAAAACGGCCTAGCTGTGGGCGAGATGACTTTCGGGCACCCAATGTTGCCCGAAATTTATAGTTAAGTCGCCCAAATGCTGACTTATGTTAAAAGACTAAATGAAATCGAAATAAGTTTCTATAATATAGCTCCATTCATTACTGTAACATTTAAAATGAGTTCAGACAGGAGCCCAAGGGTAAGTCATCAGAAAGTCTATTTACAAACAACTCACTCACAAGGACTTGACTGTTCAAAAAAGATCAAGGGAAATAATTATTTCAAAAGCTCTAGTTGCTTTTTCCTTGGCTAGAAAACTTTGACAACAATAGATATTTACATATACCTTGAACAACACCTGTGAATTGGGAAATATTCTATACCATTATTGTAAAAAAAAAAAATTGAAAAATGGAAGTAAAAACCATCAACTTATGAATTCGATCAAAACACTAGAAAGAAGCCAAACCTATAACCAAAATAAGGATAAAGGTTATTTCCTGGAAATCTATATAAGGGGTTATTAAGATTCAAATATAAAACGTACATCCTGTATTTTTAAATGTAAACAGGCCTTTGTTGAAAACCCTAATTGAACATTACGCTACGGTAAAAGCCGGTTGTAGTGGAAGTCGTGGAAACTACTAAAAAAACGTATTTGTTTTAGAACGAATTCATGACAGAAGGACCAGAAGAAGGTTTATATTGATTTTTTTTTACATGTCGAACTTGTAATGTAATTCTAAACAGCTAATGTGACTTGTCATAGTACATTAGCTACAAACCAACACTAGTATATGTGTTAATATTGCAAAGATAACTCTGACTGTGGTCACGAACCCGGGTCACGAACCGTGATAAGGAAAACAAACTAAATCGCATGATCGACCGTATGAAACGCTCTTTGACAATTATTACTCGAGCCCGAATGGGCTCTGAGTCAAAAGCCCATGAGTCAATAGCCTATGAGGCCGAATGGGCTATTGACTCAGAGGCCATGAGGGCAAGAGGAATAATTGTTTTAGTATAATCCAAATAGCTGGTCAAAAACATCGAGACAAAACTACTTCAGCTAGTTACGCTAGAATTTAATCCTTTTTTGCCGCCAAAAAGCCGGCTCTTTTCGCTACTAGTGGACTATAACAGATAGCCTGGTAGTAGCTCAACAAATCAGAACGCAGCATTGATAATAGACCACTAGTTGGATTTTACTAAGTTAGTTTAGCAGGTAGGGGCAATTTAAGGCCTCTCAGTCTAGAAGTGTATTAAAATTTGTATAAGTCTGGATAGGAATCTTAGACCTCATATTAGCGCCTTCCCTCCCCTGAAAAAAAAAACAGAAGTCGTCCCAAAGGCTGTTAGCTTGACCTACTCCTCTTCATGATCCCTGCTTATGTTGGTCACCATAGCATTAGCTTACGAGACCAGAGACTAAAGATCCTCTGGATACCTTAGCTGTTCCTGTTACAAGACCCGTCGGAGGAGCATACGTGACACTAGCTGTTTCAAATGCACTAGTGCATTTATTGTTTTCTTTCAAAAGACTCGGATCAACTTACCCTGGACGCGAAAACATACAACAACAACAGCATCAATACCCAGCGCCTTTTCCTTTTCTTTCTTTTTATTTTTGGGTAACGGTGTTGGGGAACACGCTAAGGGAGGAGTAGTCACCCTATGTAAGGGGATTCAAGACAGTCTTTGATTCTGGATTCCACGCCCTAAATTCCGGATTCCAGGTACAGGATTCCTGTCTTTGTTAGTAAAATTTGGATTCTGGATTCCAATCTTTAGAAGGGTTCTATATTCTTTGAGCTGTATTCCGGATTCCAAAGCCCAGGATTCCGGATTTCACGAGAAAAAATTTCCCGGAGTCCGGAATTCAGATTTCCTCGACATACAGCGAGCGGAGAGGAGGCGCCTGCCGTGAACGTCCTAGTTTTCCCTTTTTCTACGATCTCTGGCAGTGCGTAGAATTTCATTGGCTACAAGCACCTTTGGGGATTAGTCTGTCTGTCTCTTTTCTTTTTCTCCCCTCGTGTGCGCGCGTCCTCGAAATTTCTCCCTTTGCCCTGATAAAACCCGGCGCCTGCTACGCAGGCTACAACAACTTAAAGCGGAATCAGGCAATAGTGTCACAAATTGTATTTTAATGAGTGATCCATTGGTACTTTTTTTGAACAAAAATCAGAGGAAGTTGTACATACATAAATCGATTATTTCTGAGCAAGATATCAAAAATCACAATTTTCAAGCAAGAATGAGAATAAAAGGGGAAGACTACCAGCCCTTCTTGTCTATTTTCTTTTTCTTCTCTGGTTTTGGACGCCAAATTGGCTTTTGAGAAGCTGCAGATTCAACCCGTTCGACAGCTTCCTTCTCCAACCGCCCCTGTCTGTCAAGAGAAACAACGTTCTTAGATTAGTAACTTAGATGCCGTATTTTCTAACTTTAGGTACTAATTAGTCGCCGGCCAGATCTGCCTTTCATACCCCCCCTGCGTATTCAAATTTTGGACCTAACAATAGCTTGAGAGCACAGGCAACATTTTGAGACTCCGCAACAGGTTTCCCCGCGAAATGACGTCTGAGAAACGCAGAAATTGGTAGGGAAATTTGATTCAACCAATTAGAAGAACTACCCAGATCTGGGTAGGGACGCGTCATAAGTATGGAATTTCTGCGCTCGTTTCTCACACCTCATTTGCCGGGGAGACCCGTGGTAGCGTCGCCAAATGTCGGCTGTTTTCTTAGGCTATTTAATTTCTACATCACTGTAAAATTTGAGCGAGTCGCAAAACACTGATTTCTTTATAAAGCGTTTTACAAATGACATTTGTTAAACTCCATGACTGATGATTTGATGTTCAGGTCAAAAACCAAAGGACTGAGGACACTGGGCAGAAACTACCCGCAAGAATTTGCTAAGAACAACCTCGCGTTGCTCAAAGAAGATCACCGGTGAGGTCGTTTAGAAAACGTTACAACAGTATAACTTTGTAAGTCTAATTATAATACTACATGAGAAATTTGTG